TGTTTATATTTATTTATATTTATTTATATTTATTTTTATTTATTTATATTTGTTTATTTATATGTATATTCATGTTCATGTTCATATGATGCACATATACATGTGCGTTTGCATGTATGTACACAACTTTACAACCATATCATCATACCGATCCATCGACATGCCTTTCTGCCCCTCTGCATGTCTGCCCTGCCTGCGATACTGCGTTTTCCCTGTCTGGCTGGCCGAATGTTTATGGATCTTGCCTTTCGCCTATCTCTATCTAGACTTCACCCATCACAACAGCTACGCGATCATTGGCTGATGGCATGCCCAAGCTGCCATGCAAGGCATCTCAATGCCCCGCTTAGGAGACCTATTCCCGTGCTGGTGTACGGTCTAGGAGGCAGGGCTGCCACCACATGAATCGACTTGCATACATTTAATCTGGTCACCCGGCCTTGAGGAAACCCAATGCGGACCAAACGCGACATAATGCGACACAGGAACATGAGTTTTGCTCCGCATTGCTGCAGCTTTTGGGTGTACCACAAATACCAAGGCCAATGTTAACCGTAGCTAGCAAGCCGACCCCTGTCTATCTCTGCGAAGCGGGGCGTGACCGCTGTCGAGTTGCTGCCGCCGTGCTGTTCTTAACCAGCGCCTGCCAAAGTGACTTGGGAGTACCATGCTGCCGGACGAGGGGTGCAAACTTCCCGATCTGCGGGGCTTTGGCATCGCAGCCCTAAATCTAAATCACTGTGCAATTCAACACAGGCGATAGAGTCCTTTGAGGTACCAGCGACTCTTCAGTGCCAAGGGTGGAGGACTTTGGGCCACAGAAGCTTCAGAACTTTTGCATTGAAGCTCTCTGCTATCTCTCCCAGCACCCGGTGACCTACCTTAAGCCGGTCCTGTCCCAGGTAGCCCAACGGCCTACACCCCAAACCCTAGCCTGGTCGAACCCTCGTCCCAGGCCTCTAATCCATAAGCCCCCAAACCCCCTTGGACCCTGAAAAAAGAATCCCCCAACACCCCAGGATTCCCTCCGAGGGAATCTCAGGGGTTCCTTTAAGAAATCGGATCCAACATCCCACGGCCTTGGCACGAATCGCAGCACGACGCTGCTCGCGAAGAGCCGAGATCGGATCCTGGAGTGGTTTAGGGTTTTAGGGTTTAGGGTGTTTAGGGTGTTTAGGGCTTTAGGGTTCAGGGTGTTTAGGCTGTTTAGGGTGTTTAGGGATTTAAGGCCTGGGACTTGAGGCTTTGGGCTTTAGGATTTAGGGCAAAGTCTCGGGCCCTTGCGTAGGGTCTGATAAGGCCTACAAGAAATGGATGCACAAGCTATTCCACAAGGGTAATGTAGGAACAAGATGAGGATCAAAACATGGGCAGTTCTTTGAATTAGGGTCCCCTTTTGATCCCCAAAATAATACTGGAGCCTTGTAGAACCCCAAACCGCCACACCCCCCCTCCCTCCCCAACTCCCCAAAGCGTCCAGGCCGTCTGCTGCCTCCGCTTGAGTCACCTGCCGGGATCTTTGCTTCGGGTCTGGATCTGCCAAGGGGGGGCATTATTATTATGATTATTATGATTATTATGATTATTACGATTATTATTATTCCTATTACTATTACTAATATTATGTAATGGGAGGTGCTTCCAGTATGGATCTTTTCTGGGGACCTCCACCTTCCGGAGTTTCGTCACTCCTCCTTCTTCCCTGTGTTGCAGAGGCTCGTGCAAGGGTTCATGGTGGTATTGCACTGAGCAGGTTCCTAAGCCAAGCTCCTGGCCGGGACTTCACGCCCACATCAACAGGTCGGTTCCTTCTAACCCCTAGACTCTGAAGTCCACATGAGAGAGATCTCTGCCAAGAAGACGAACCCCAAGTAGCCCACCTCTTGGCAGTCTCAACATCCCGATCCCTAGACCCAACCTGAAACCCAGGAGACACAGAAGCCTTCTCTGGGTGAACATCTCCGCCGCTTCCACGGCGTGGGAAGAATGGACGCTTCAAGCTTCCTTGGTACAGCTTGAGCTACCTTTCGCATCAGTCCCAAAAAGACGGCCCGAAGAAGTGTCTGTTGATGTAACTCGGCGGGGAGGATCTTGGTCTTGACCATGCTCCTCCTCTGGGTTTAGGGGGTCCAGGGCTGAGATGTGACCGGGGCACCATCCAGCATCATCAAGAACTTGCGGAACCTGGCAGATTGAGACGGCTCTCAGGTTGATGTACTCCTGCTGTCCGTTCCCCAACTTTACATGTGCACAATGATGTAAATGCATGAGTGTGCAACTGGATCTCTAATTGCCTCTACTCTTCTAGTCATAGCTGCATGAGTTGGCCGCCGCTGTGGATGTCACTCCAAATGCACTGGCCTCAGTTTGGCCTCGAAATGTCCGAGTCCGGCGGGTACATTAGGGGAAGCACTTTGGCCTCGGTGTCCTGGTAGTCTCCCAGTGGTTTCCGATTGTCTAATGCTGGTCTACTCCTGCGGGTCTTCTCTTGCCGGTCTCTTGGTGGACAAGACGCAGAACGCAAGACCTTGACATCTCCAATCTGCAGACATACATAGCTCCCAGTTTTCAGCGGGACAACCAATTATTGCCAATCCCACTGTTGAGTTTCAAGGCCAAGAAGCGTGACGAACAAGGGAAAGGTCTTGACGCGAAGGATGTTGTCAGGATGCCTGACAAACGATTGCACGAGGATCTGTCAAAGGCAGGGTGTGCTTGCGATGTTGCCTTCTCAAACTGGAGTGTGTACTCGTATTGAGCAAGCTGACAAGCTGGTGCGAACATGCTTGAAGCTGCCAGGGGCGATTGAGTTGCAGTCGGTTGTAGTTCGGGTTCCGGTTGCTGGCAAATCACGGAGTGCAGACAGCCCACACAGCTCCAGCCAAGCCGTTTACACAGCCGCCTCCAGAACGTGTTGAAGCTGCGAGTATGATACCTTCAACACGCAATGTGCGATATCAGAATCTAGAATTGCATCTATGTCTGGATTTGTACATACATACATACATACATACATACATACATACATACATACATACATACATACAGGCATACAGGCATACAAACAGACAGACATACATACAGACATACATACGTAAAATACACACACACACATATTATATATTTATATACACATGTATGTATGTATGCATGCATGCATGCATGCATGCATGCATGCATGCATGCATGCATGCATGTATGTATGTATGTATGTATATATATACATTCAAATTATTTCTGTATCTATATATGTATGTACCACATATGTGTATATATATATACAGTATGTATACATACGTGTATATATATATACATACATACATACATACATACATACATACATACTCATGTGCGTGTGTTTCCAGGCCGATGCCTGGACTGCTCCAGCAGCCCTGACCGTGGAAGAGCGCTCCGTGTCGTTATCGGAGCTTCCTGGAAGGGAAAGCTAATCTTGAAAAGTGCGGGTCTTAGTGTTTTGGCGCTTTAGGGTTGTTTGTGTTGTAAGGCTTTTTGGGACTGCAGAGTTTGCTTACTCTGAGGGATACGGGTTGTCACACTGGTTGTGCTATCGATTCTGATCTGTGGGTACAGCCGGTTCATCACCAGTCCAATGTCAAATAACTCTAAAGATATGGAAGTTGAATGCTTGCATCTATGATCTATGGCAAGAACACCGAGCCCCATGGAAGACCAGCTTCCTGCTCGGAAATAAGACCTCAAGGAACCTACCACGGACCTGAAAGTTCAAGGCCACTGTCATAGTGACAAACACCAAGCTCCCGAACCGATTGAATTGAACTCGCTCAGGATGGGATGACTTACTGGCAGCTGCGATTTTAAAAACCCTCTTCCCACCGGAAGAAGCATTTCAATGCGGGTCCTTAGAGCCCCTCCGTGTAGCTTCATAAACCTAACCCCGTGCCTTGCGACAGCTCTCTAAGTCTTTCGCGAGCTCGTCGATCCGTGGTGGCGCGGAGAACTGATTTCCCAGCCAGCCGTGATCTCTGAGTATGGAGTCCACCCGCGCATGCATGCTGCCGATTGCCGTGATGGCCTCGATCAGTGCCAGAAAAAGACTAGTCTTCATCGTAGAAAGAAATGCGCCCCAACTCGTAGTCTCTGTGACTTAGGTTCCGGTGCCCAGTAAGGCCATTGCACACGCTGGCAAGCTCCCTGATACACGGAACACCACAACTCTGAGAAACCCCAGAATTCCAGAGCCCTCCTCTTCATGCCCTGAACCAGCCTCGGCCAACATGCTGGTCCACTCAGAGTCCAACCCGCCATGACGGCGAGCTTGCTCAATACATCCGAGGACTTGGGATGCGAAAAACGCCTCCTGGGACACCTCCTGGTGGGACCGTCAGAGGCAGATGTAACTGCACAGCGTTGCAATCAGCTGCAAGCGAGTTGCATAGTTGCATGGATCACACTGCAGTACCCAGCCCTACCAAGCGCTCCTTCTGGGACGCCATGCTCTTCTGACTCTTCTGCTGCATGTTCGTGAAGTATTCCAGCACCTTCCAAGGGGCGAGTTTGTGTTCTGCAAGGACGGGATCGCTCGCAAGGGTCTTCCCTTGGCCTTGTTCGCCAAGCCCGCACTGTGCGTCACGAAGACCTGCCATGAACAGTCCAGCTATATACATGGGCCAGGGGCCCTGCAAACTCCCCATCCCCAGACTGAGCACCCTACAGGAGCATCGGTAGCAGCACAACCACATGGTAGCTGCAAGGGCTGAACTCACAGCTGTGACTTCGGAAGCAAGTTTGCGGAAACTCTGGGTGCTTGAACTTTCGAGAGCCAACAAAGATCCCACACGATTTCCAAAAGAAAAGGAATACCCGAAACTCGGAACCTGCCTGGTTCAGATGGACGAGGGAGTTTGAACCGGAAGGCAGCAAGGCAGTGTTCCCAGCCTCATCCGCAAAATGCCGGCAAAAGCTCTCTAAACCCTCAATGACACAGCAACGAGACGACAGCAACACGACCACAACGAGGACAGGAGCAGAACTCCCAGGAAAGCAAGGAGCTTAGGGGCCTCAGAGGTCCAGGCTAAGGCCAACTGAATCCTGGAGTTGCAGACGTTTTGGCTTCAAGAAACGCAAGGAAACCCCTCCTTGCGCCTCTGCTCTCAACCTGTCTCCAACCTACGACGCGCAATCTGCGACGCGGATTCTGCACGAGTCCTGAACGGGGTCGGTTATGGTAGAAGTGCCTTCTGATCATCAAGTGCCCATATTACAAGCCCTGAACGCTCCCCAGCCTGTGCCGACTGCTTCCAGTAGTCCAGGTATCGATGGAACATCCGATACACACAGCCTCAGATGCGAGGATGCCAGGGTTGCGTCGGAACGAGGTTAAGGGTTGAGTGGGAGCAATATTCTGCACCAGACTTCGGAATACTTCGCCCTACCTGCCAACATCCCAGACTAAGGAACCCCACCGGCTCAAGACTTAACCGTAACCGAGGCTTCTGGAAGCGGGGTGTTTTAGCTATTCTGACTTGAGAATGTCCCGAATGCATGCTCGGGCTACTGCCAAGGCCTCAATCGGGGTTGGGAACAGGTCTGTAAGGGTTTTAGGGTTCCGAGGTCCCGTTCGGGTTTTTAGGTTCCGGTTGCAGCGTGCTGCTTGGACGGCTCAGCGTAGCTTGATAGGTAACTTGACGAGGCCATCGCCACCTAAACTCCAAACCCCACACCTCACGGCCTTCAATTAACATCCCTTACGCCCTGAATCCTGAAATCAGAGCCCCAACAGCCTCCAACCCTTAAACCGGCAACCTGCACTTCTTGCAAACAAGCGGAAGGAATGACACGTTCAATGACTCTGACTCCGAGTTGAACGCAGTCTGGTCGCAGAGCGTCTTGCCCGAGCCGCTGCGACCAATCCTTTTCTCAGGTCTACGGGGTTGAAGCACAAGAGCACTACACCCCAAATACCCCTAAACCCTACACCCTAAACCCCAAAACCCCAAACACTAAACCCTGAAACCCAGACCTCTTAAACCCTAAACAACCCAACATCCTACAGCAGCCATGGCTCACAATGTTTGGCCCTGGCTTCTGGATCACCGCATCTTCTTGCTTGGAGGTGCGCAGCATGAACCTTGCTGAACGGCTCGGGGTGCGGAGCTTTTAGGATTTCGGTCTTCTGTCTTAGGGGTTCGATGCTTCGTCGTTGAGCTGCTTCGGGATTGCAGGGCCGGTGACGGTCCAGTTTTTTCAGAGCAGGGTCCAAACAAAGCCCTACCCGAAACTCTCTAAAGCCATTTCAGATAGAGGCCCCACTGCCGCGGTGTAGGGCCTTGGACCCCGCAGCCTCTGCCGACGAGTGGCTGCTCGCCAGCGGCCAGCCCTGAGAAGTCAGACCCCTTACAAAGCTCGCAAGAGCCTAGAACCGTAAACCCATCAACCCCAAAGTGGCGAAATGGGGCTTTGGGTTCAGAGTCGTTACATCGTTGGGTTTTTTGGGAATTGCGTTTGGGTTTTGGGGGAAGACGGGAAATTCGTTGAACCCTAAACTCTAAACCCCAAACCCTCGAAAGGACACATATAAATATATATATGTGTGTGTATGTATATGTATGCACGTGTATATGTATGTATGAATGTATGTATGTAGGCATGCGTGCATGTACATGTATATGTATATGTATATGTATATGTATATGTATATGTATATGTATACGTATATGTATATGTATATGTATCTGTATATGTATATGTATATGCATACGTATATGTATATTTATATCTATCTGTATATGTATATGTATATGTATATGTATATGTATATGTATATGTATAGATGTATATATGTATATAAGTGTATATGTAGACATGTATATATGTATACGTGTATATATGTATGTGTATATATATATATATTTATATGTATGTGTGTATGTATGTATGCATGCATGCATGCATGTATGTATGTATGTATGTATGTAGGCAGGCAGGCAGGCAGGCAGGCAAGCAGGGAGGTAGGTAGGTAGGTAGGTAGGTAGGTAGGTACGTATGTATGTATGTATGTATGTAGATATGTATGCATGTAGGCAGGTAGGTATGTAGGTATGTAGGTAATTACATGTACATATACATATGCATATACATATACATATTCCAATATATATATATATACATATACATACATATATATATATACACACATATACATGACAAAGACATGTGTATATATATACACGTATAGATAGATATATATATATATGTATGTATATATGCAGATATGGTAGGAATTTTTTGTGGCAGCTTTTTGTACTCTGCTGAAGTTGCACCTCTAAACACTCTATGACTTTAGGGCTGTCAGATGGCCTTCCTCCTCATCGTCTAGGAGGATGGACCGCACGATATGCCATTCCAGAGCATAGAACTTTCGCAAGGACAGGACGTCACCTCGGAAACCGAGCTCGGCTCGAGCCGAAGCCACGGCCCGAAAAGTAACACACAGAGACAGAGACACAGGAACAAAGGGTTGGTTGGCGCCAAAGATCGGCAGTCTGAACGCTGCAGAATCGGGCCAGGAAACCCCTCAGTGCCGCTCTTTCTTGAGAAAAAAACGCAATGAGTATCCTCGCTTCGATGTGTTGGAGAGCATGAGCCTGACTATACCCCATGTTTTGGCCATGAATGGCGCTCTGAAAAGAAGCCCTGTGCCCAGTTGCTGTCTTGCAGTTCAGATTGCAGCACGCTTCGAGGGCAGCGCACTCCATCCCTTGGCATTACATGACGACAGGTCTTGCGAGCTTCTCCCAAGAATGTCCGTGCTGAAATGCTTCTTCAGAGAATGCGGCCACATGTGTGTAGGGACAGTGAGGTCGTCCCCCTCAAAACCCGGCAGTCACTAGCCGCAGTCCTTGCCAAGGCTCTTCAGTTTTATACTCTGAGACCTGAGGGCACGCTCCACTCCTGGATGTGATCAGACATACGGTTTAGGATTTAGGGCTTAACTTGTTATATCTAACATATAATGTATAACATAATATATAACATATTGCAGTATAGTATCCTACAATATGATAAAGTTCAGGGTTGCGGTTGGTGCAGAGTCGGGAACGCCGAAGGAAGGCCCATCAGATCTGCTGAGTTTCACTTCGGCTGTGCGGTTGCTCTTGGAGCCTTCACAGCTTCACGGCCGTGGCTCTGGCCGCGGCTCCCTCCAGCCAAGTTCACACCACATGCAACCTTGCAAAAAGACAACCCGCCCCAAGCTCTCAATGCCCAACCAGCAACCCTAAGACGCCGAAACATGCTTACAAAGACTTCAGAATGACAGCAGCATCCTCTGAAGTCCCGTCACGCGTCCTGTAAAGTCGCGGGTGGCCTTCTTCCAGTCTTCAACCAAGGCAGCCGCAGCCTCCGCCGACTGATCGGGGCCTTGGGTTCAGCTCGGTGGGGTTGTTCTGGTACACGCATATATACATACATACATACATACATACATACATACATACATGAATTAAACAGATACGCACATGTATGCTCGCCTTGCATGTCTCAGAGGCACTGCCTTGACCAGGGGTTCCACCCCTGTTTCGTACCCACACATTCCCTATCCTGGTGGTTTTCGATTGCCGTTTTTTTCATGTTGCGTCTGTGTCATGATGCAGTCGTTGTTTCAGCAATACATTCCTGATCATATGAGGTACCTGGGGACCCTCGTTAACAACAACCCTCCTTGCACATGTGCCCACTGGAGACCCAAGGTAATGCCAAATGAGACCATCTGGTCGTGCATCTGCTCTGAAGCATGGGCCATCGAGACATTTTAATGATTCGGGGTTGGCAGGTACTGTACCCCCTGCAGTACGGAATTGATTTGGGCAGAGGTGCTCACGACATGCCAGATCTTGATCACTTCCACGAAGACTTTCCGGCGGCTGTCATACTCCATGTCCAGGCCTCAGGGCATGACCGCGTAGACCTGAACCCCTGAGCACGACAGAGAGGTCTGGATGCCAACCCTAAACCCTAAACCCTGAACCCTAGACCCCAAAGCCACACCCCAAGCTTCTTTCAAACTTTCCGGGCCCCTCACCAACCTGAGCTCGTATGGATCGAAACACAAAAGCCCGCCAAGCCGCCTCCCTCGAAACGATCAATTCCCCCCCCCCCCCCGGCAAGCGCGGAACCCGGCAAAGGCTCAGAAATCATCCCTTGGAACTGAAACAGGCGACATCGACATAATGCTAGACCCCCTGACTAAAATCAACTCGCATCTCTATGATCATCCCTTTTAGGGGAAGACGGGGATGGGGGGGGGGGGGGTAGTCGGAGGTCTAGACTAGGGGGAGCTTTAGGTCCAAAGCCTAAAGAAATCCCTGCTTGATCTCTGAGACTTGAGGAAAAGCTTTGGGCTTATAGGGTTTAGGGTT